AGCCAGCATGCTGGCTGGGGAATTCTGGGAGTTGAAGTCCACCCCCCTTAAAGCCACCAAGGTTGAAAAACACTGCTCTGGATGGAAAGCCTTCAACCCCTAGGATTCTCAACAGTAACCAAACTAAGTTGAACTGAGTTCAAACTGAGTTGAAGACCAGACATCTGGGTTGGGGAAGGCTCTGTTGTAGAAGCAGGCCACGATCACCTTGCATAGCCCAATTCTCCATTTAGGAAGTACCAGCTAAAGAAGGTTGAAGAGCTGAAAGGAGGAGGACTTTAGGTTGTGAGCTCTAGTGGAGTGGAACTGCTGTGAAAGGGAAGACAAGTGTGACACCCCTTGGCACACTGATGAAAGAGTTTGTGCACTTACCTCACAGTTGTACATCTCCAGGAGTGTTTTTTTGTAATGGCTGAGGTTCTCCGTCCCAAGGTTGGTGACCGTTAGGGCTCCGTAGGAGATCTGAAAGTCCTTCTCCAGTGGCCAGTATTGACCACACTTCCTTTTGCCTCCTTCTTCAATCCTGCAATGGAAAGAAGAATGGGGGAATATGGAAGGTGTGCATACCTGGAAGGTGTCCGCTTGGAGCCCAATGAAAGCGTGAAAGGACAGCTTTCGAGTGAACCACTTTGAGCCAAAACCATCTTCATAAGAAGATCATGGCACATGGGCAAACCACCCCCTCTGCTGAAACACATCAAGGCCATGCTCGCTGGTCCTGCGATGCACAGAGATACGTTACCGTGTGGTCATCACGATCACCAGCACGTTCTGTTCCCACACCATGCGCCAGAAGTCATTGTATGTGTTTTCTAATGGTCCTAGAATGAAACACGGAATGTTAAGACAATGCTGGAAGCTACATACTACAGGTAGTCCTTGCTTACCGACCGCTTCCTTCAGCGACCGTTCAAAGTTAAGACGATGCTGAAAAAATAACTTTACCACCAATGCCCGTGTTTATGACCTTCACAGTGTCCCTCAGTCACGTGAGCGCCATTATGTCAGTATGCGTTGTCCTATGCCTGACCCATTTCCCCTCTCCCTTGCAGAGCAGAGAGATTGGAGAGGAAAGGATTACAAGAGAGCAAGCAGCCACACAATGGGGAATACATCAGACCGCTTGCGTAGTACTCAGGGCTCCTGGTGCATTGCTTTCAATGTGTATTCCCCATTATGTACG